GAGGAACTCAGTTTAGCTTGTTTTTTGTTGCACTAGCAACACCAAGCTAATACATACAAGGCAATATAGCGTCATCGCTAGCGCAAAAAGCCTACAGTATTTTTACAGTCTTTATTTTACAGTTAAAATAAGTGTTTATCAAATAAAGTCTAATGTTACAACTAACCGTGGATCCCTTTAAGAAGAGTGTGGATTTGAAGAGGGGTTCAGCATGACCCAATGCAAATCAGTAGTTCATTTTTATGAATTAAATATGTGTTAGGAAGAAAAACCTTTATTTAAACTAAATGTTTCTTTGAAATGTTCCAGCTGTAGGTGTTTGAGAGACAATTAAGTTAAAAAAAAGTTAAATCACCAACATTTAATTCATTTCCAAAAGGTCCTGCTCCTGCTACTGTTTGCTCACACTCATTAACATCTGTCCATCACACAGGAGTGTGAACCTGCTTCTCTGTAGACAATCAGCATGAGGCCAAAGGCTTTTTGAGACCTCCATTCTTGTCCTGGAGTAGGACTGTGACCTTTGACCTGAGCACACACTCACACACAATCACACAAACATGCACACAAGAGACTATTTGTGCAAAAGCAGCTTTAATAAGAACACACATAGCTCAAATATTTGTTCCTAAACAAACTCACAACAACAGGAGGCTGTGCAACAGCTGTAAGGTACAGTTGTGACAGAGTCAGCCTAAAAACTCTGACCACAAAACTGAGGTGTCTTTCAGAAATTTYAGATTTTAAACCTGATGCTAGTTTTGTCTTTTTTTTTAATAAGCTGAGGAGGGAAAACAACAGCTGAGAATGAGGTGACCAAGCTTTGCATCACCAGGTTTTTAACGACTCAACTCTTTCCAACTCTGGGCAGAGGAAGTAACAGTTGGGCAACTCACACAAAAAACAAGAGCAGAAAGAGAGACAGAAACAGCTGCATGTCTGGGCATAAATCCCTACGGGACGGTGAGCTTCTCTGCCCGTATTTGTGACTCAACTTCCTGTCTAAATTATTAATTTCTGGACATCCTAAAGACGGTTTACTGAACTAAGTAAAAGGTTTGGCAACACTGCAGGGAGAGTCGATCTGAGGCGGAAAGAAATTTCACGGCAAGGATATTGGTAATTTTATCCCTTCTGCATCTTCAACAGCCCCTAAGATCACCACCTGCCCCACCGATCAATAAGTGAACGTCCAATTTCAGACAGAGACAAGGTAATGATTGACCCTCAGGTCTGAAGTGTAAGGGGACACAAATCCAACACCGTCCATCCTGCTGTTTCTCATCATCTCATGCTTTTGTCTCCCTAATTATCCCAACATCCATCTATTGTTCTATTATTAGATGTTGCTGTAAGTGTCCTGTTTTTCTTTTATGAATTAATTTGCCTACACATATTGTAAGTGCTACTCTGTGTCAGACTTTAAAATCGAAACATTTGAGAGAATTGAGAGAATTTACTGCGGCCCCGTCACACCTGGTTGTCGTTCACTAATCATCTCATCTGCCCRTTGATATTTGTTGTCTTCCCTCAGTTCTGGGTCATTTCGTCATTTGGGTCTTGATTCTATTGCCCACCCTTCAGTTAGTGAAAGGAGCAGCTGTTTGGGTTTTTGCAAAATGTCAATAAAAAAATGCCACTTCGGAGTTCTGCCTATAGAGGAAAATATATAAGTTGAAAGTAGCTGTAATAAAAGAAAACCAGTTTAAAGAATTAATACATTTTCATTATGTAAATGATTGTATTAAACTGTGGAGATACAAACAGCAGATCTGTGTAATAAACACAAACAAAAACCTTCCACTTCCCATCTCATTTCCGTCCCCCGTCTGCTTTTCTTTTGTCAAAACTCATTTCGGCATCAGTTCCCACAGAGCCGCCATCAGCTGATTGATTAAACTGTCTGTATCTCTTTCAACCAAACTGCTGCTTCGATGCACAAACACACACACAGACGCACACATGTTAAATCAGACGAGAAGCCTGCGATGATTTATTCATCTCAGCAGTCCCTCCATCACCGTCTCTACCCCCCCCCCGCCCCCACGTACAGATCAGAAGTTGCTTGAGGCAAATCATGATCATGCTGAGCTTTTAACTAAGAAACACAGAAAGCAAATCTCAGCAGTATGGAGAGCCCTTTCATTCAAAATGCAATAAATAAATA